AGCCCTTTATATCTAAATGCTTAACTATTAGTTTCTCAACGAACAGTCCCTGAACCGAAAAATTCGATGACATGCCCATCTCGAACTGAATGAATGYWATAAAGAAATGAAAGAAAATCCCAGCGAGGTCGGAAATYAATTTTTCCGAATTTATTCSTAAGGGTCTTYCTCCCGGAATTGCCTCCTTCTAAGCACTATAACTATCTTTCATTTCTTTATCGTGTCTACTATAGTGCCAAGCGGTCCTCTTATTCATACTTGATGAATTTTCTCCCGTTATACTTTGATCAATGAATGCGAGGCATGAGCGCGATGCTTGCCGGTTAAATGTGGCCCTTTCAAAAAACAAAACAAAAAACGTTAGCTTTTATATGCAAATATAAACTAACAAAGGATTCGTTTTTCAGGGTGGAAACAATGCAGGTCACACGGTGGTTGTTGGAGAAAAACGTTATGCCTTTCACATTCTTCCAAGGTAAATTAGCCAACTTTGCCAGCTTTCAACACTGGAAAAWATCGCGCGCTTTAAAGGTTGTAAATTTGATGTAAATATGATGTAAGWGTCCAAAATCTGTAAATTTGATGTAAATGATTTCCATTAAATTTACAGAATTTTGGACACTTACATCATATTTACATCAAACAGGGATTTGTTTTTGCAAAAGGCTCAAATACTACTGAGTGATATATTCAAAATTTTTTTTTTTTTTTTTTTTTTTTTTTTTTTTTTGGGGGGGGGAGGTACTTTTAGTGATCCTTCTCACCAGATTCGTTTTCCTTTAAGTGGACATTTTGGTTTCATGGGAAGGTGCATGGAACCCTGTGTTCCCTTGGATACGGCCATTGCCTTTATGATTTATATATATCGGGAAAACCTCTTGCACCAGGGAATAACATGCAGACAAATCTGCTTCCAGCACGGTCAGTTGGTGGTCATCAAAATGTGTGGTACAAAAATGTAATCTGGCCTCGTCATCAATTCTTTCTCTGTCGCATGTTAATGTGTTTTTATTTATTCAACAGTGGTCTCATTAATAAGAATGCCATGAATGTCATTGGTGAGTCTTACAATGAATTATATTCTTTGAGGGACTTTGGTGACTAGATGATGAWATTGCGTGACAACTTGATKATGYGTGACAGCCTGAAATGACATTCATGATACAGTGATACGCGTAGACATGGAAACATTTCGATGCTGCTTTGATAGTGACATAGATTTTGCTGTCTTGATGATCAAGTTGAACGAGTGCATCTTTGATTGCGTTAAATTGATGACGCTGTGTGACAAGGCTTTGCGAGTATTGATGATAGCGTTGTGTGRCACAGCTAGTAGTGACGCGTTGATGTCGTTGTGTGACACCGTTTGTTKACTTGCTTGTGTTATTTACAGGTAATGGTGCTGTCATCCACGTTCCACAGTTATTTCAAGAAATGGAAGATCTCAAAGCACAAGGTAAGTTCGAGACCCAGAATTTGCTTGCTATAACTAAAAAAACCGGATGTTACGCAGGCTAACTATTAAAGATAATGAATTATTACTTTGCAATACAGGAATCACTGACTGTGCTAAAAGACTAATCATATCCAGCAGAGCTCATCTTGGTAAGTCTATTTACATAGCACAYATATAAGASCACTTTACCATGTGGGATTGTCAGCCTGAAGTCACATTGGAGCATGCGCATTTGGTAGGAATGCAAAAGGTCGGAATTTTTTCTTATTGCGCATGTTCTTTTGGTGATCTGCTTCGATGTTTTCAAATAAAACGCAGTTGTCGGTAAAATAACGGGAAACGTATTGACTTTTTACCAAGACACTAGTCCTTGGTCAAAGTRAAAATACGAAGGACCATCTTCCGAAACTTCAGAAAGTCTCTTTTTTTACAATTAAGTAAAAGCTCACATTCCGTTATTACTTTTAACTTTTAATATTTTGTTCAAATAACAGTCTTTGACTTGCACCAAGAGGCTGACCGACTCAGGGAGATGGGAAAATCAAGGTTTGTAAATTAATTCTAGTTGAATATGGTTAAAGTAGTAATAATTTTACCGAAAAACAATAAACCTAAACAATTCCTATTTTATCTAGTATTGGCACAACCAAAAAGGGCATTGGACCAGCTTATGCTTCAAAGGTGAGTCTATTATTAAACACAATTAACCGAACTCCTTGCGTTCATATACCAAGATAGATTCGCTCTTTCGTTTTAGGCCCAAAGGCTAGGCCTCCGAGTTTGTGATCTTGTCGGAAATTTTGATATCTTCACAGAAAAGTAAGTATCCCTTTAAATCCATTGTATCAGACAAGTCTCTCTTGTTTCGTTGTCTAATGAACCATTCGTCATCTTTTATAGATTCAGATTGCTGGCCAACCATTTCCAGAGACTGTAAGTACATAAAAACATTAGTATAAACATTCAATCTTCTTATTACAGCCAATCAAATGCAAGTTCATGATTTAGTTTTAATATTTCGTCACAGATTCCCAGACTTACAAGTAAACTTTGATGGAGAGTTCGAGAAATACAAGGTRATTAGAAATCCATTTTGGACACTAGTCTCCTCGCAGCAGTTTTAACTTTCGGTCACGCGTCACGCAACCTCKCCACACTAAAGGTTGCGTGACGCGTGACAAAAACTAAACACGGCTGCGAGGAGACTAATTGGACACTGGTTCTGTAAATGTTCATCCCTAAACAGTTAATTTATACAACRGGGAAAAATTAATCAAATTTGTGTAGGGAAAACAAATCAGTTACTTATTACGTATACACAATTTTGATCAATTTTCTCCCGTTACATTCCCATACTACCCGAGAACCTTTGCGCGATTTTCTCACGTACGATAAGACGCCATCTTTGATTTTGAACCAATGAGAAAGCRACTTGTKTATTTAGSCARTTTTCTCTTCATTCTAGGAATATGCCGAGAGGATCCGCCCTCTAGTGCGTGACACTGTTGGTTAYATGAACCAAGCTCTCCAGAAATCGAATCTGAATATTGTGATAGAAGGAGCCAATGCCATGATGCTTGATATTGACTTTGGTAAGTATCGATGGTCACAATTTCAACTTTTTTGTTACGAATGTGTGTTTTCTATAATATATATGATATCAAAGAGGCAAGATTTTGCTGTTAACTCCGAGTTTCGTGCTACGCACTCGTCAGACAGTATTTTTAAAATGATAAACATTCCTATAATCTAGATATATATATATACATGGTATAGAACAAAAGGCTAAGTGCTAGGCTATTTACATACAATACGTGATAGTTATGTTAGAAACAATAGGTGTGAAGGTAAAAATTTTCTATAATATAGGTTTAGCGAGTCTGAAACATGATGTTGTGCGAACCATAAACTTACTTGACTTGAAGTTGTTGTTGTTGTATTTGTTGTTACTGTCGTTGTTGTTGATGTTGTTGTCTTCAGTATTTATTGTTGTTGTTGTCGTTGTTATTGTCATTGTTTTTGTTGTTTTTGTTGTCGTCGTGTGTATTTGTTGTTGTCGTTGTTGTTGGTGTTATTGTCGTTGTTGTTGTTGTGGCTTCTGTGTATTTCTTGTTGTTTTCGTTGTTGATGTCGTTATTGTTGATGTTGTTGTCGTTGTTGATTTTGCTGTTGTCGTCATTGCTGTAGTTATTGTTGTTGTTGTTGTTGTCATTGTTATTGTCGTTGTCATTGTTGTGGTTATTGTTGTAGTTGGTGTTGTCATTGTTGTTGTTGTTGTCATTATTGTTGTTGTTGTTATTGTTGTTGTTGTTGTCGTTGTTGCTGTCGTCGTCTGTATTTGTTTTTGTCGTTGCTGATGTTATTATGTTTCCTAGGTGGATATCCCTATGTAACCTCGTCCAACTGCAGCGCTGGTGCAGTCTGCACAGGTCTTGGTATACCACCAAGTGCTGTTGGTGATGTCTATGGCCTTGTTAAAGCCTACAACACAAGAGTCGGCACTGGGGTCTTCCCTACTGAACTCACTGACGTAAGTAAGCTAAAGAAACCGAAGGACTTCTAATTTATGCTTTTTATCGCTGAAATAAAACGCGGTGTTCGTAGCTTTAAATGAAGACCGTCAACCGGTTGATGATCGAAACGTCTCACATTAGATCAGTTTATATACCTTTACTTTTGTTACTGCTTACCGTAACAGAGAAACGCACCCCAAGTAATCGGCAATGTGCAGCGACGCCATTTTGTGTAGCAAAGGATGATGGGAGTTCTAGTCATTGCACTTTTTGTGTCCACTAAAACAGTCCTCCTAACCAGTTTTTGCTTTTTCTAATTGAAAATAGAAGTATTTGTGCCGTTTATAAAAAGAAAATATAAAAACGGCTTTTAAGGAAATATTTTAGGGCTGTGAAAAGTACGAGGACTAGAACTACCACCATGCTTTGCTRCACAAAATGGCGTCGATGCACATTGCCTATCTGAAGTCCATTTTCAAATTATTTCAATCAAACCCTGTATGATTTTTTAGGAGATTGGAGATAAGTTGCAGCGCCTCGGCTCAGAATGGGGTGTGACAACAGGCAGGAAAAGACGATGTGGATGGCTTGATCTTGCTATTCTGAAGTTCTCACACATGATCAATAACTTCGCAGCGTAAGTGTATATTCGCAAATTGAAGTTTGTGTTTTACAAACGATGATGACAATTTAAGATCCCCAAAGTCCGATATTTCACTTCCATTTCTATATATCGTCTTGTGGTTGCTTACTTGGCATAGAAGCTCTATCTTTTGAAGCGGCGCAACCAATGTTTAAATTATCTCATTTTCTTCTGCATCACGCTGGTGAGTTTTCGTAGCGTTTTGTATATTTCGTAATTCCTTCGATGACGGACAACAAACCTAGAACCTGGCTACGAAAACGCATACATGGCGAAGCCTTTTTGTTTATAGCTTGCTTGAGTTTTTGTGCGTTTAAAGTTGGCGAAGCCTTTTTGTTTACAGCTCTTTTGTGTTTTTGTCCGTTTAAAGTTGTATCCAGAATCAAATATATTCAAGATATCCGGGTTTTTGAATGAGTGATTTCGCCCTAAACTAAAGGTCAAAAAATTCCAAAAATATAAGTTTGCGGATTCAGAATTGTTTATAAGTAGGTGGGCAAAGTCTTATGTTTCCAATTGTGTGTTATTGTAGGCTTGCAGTTGCAAAGCTTGACATTCTTGATGACTTCGACGAGGTGAAAATCGGTGTTGCATATCGATACAACGGAAAGGTGCTGGAATCGTACCCTGGTTAGTAGATTTTATATTGTTTCAAGGAATATATCCAGTCATTTGCAAAAATTCTGAGTTCTTATATATATATAGCTATTTCAAAAAAGATTGTCGGATAAAATGGCGATGGTCGATGGTCGAACGGCGATTGCACGACTGAAAGTAGCCATGGGTTTTGCTAGTTGATCGAAAGTCAATAACAACTTATTTATACTGTAAGATGGTTTGTGGTAAACATTTGCTCCATTTAGTCTCCATTTCTATGTAAGGTGAATCCAATAAGTGAAATTTTGTTTATCAAAACAGTGTAACCATAGTCCCTTTCGGTCGTGCAATCTCCCTTCGACAATCACCGTTCGCCGTTCTCACCGACAACGTTTTTTGAAATAGCTGTATAATTACTTCGGGTGGATCATGGGTAATTCCAGAAATAAGATTGCATATACTGMATATCAACTAAACGCTTTGAAATATTATTTGTGTTGATACATGTTGATAATTCCATAAGKGAAGATTTGTAATAAAATGGTAAATTATAGACTCCATAAAGGAGAGAAAACATTCTGACATTTTGGAGGTTGTAGTTTGCACTTTTATCGCGGGGTAAAAACTGAGAGGGTCACAACGACACTGGTGAAAAACGCACTGCGCATGCCCACAGCTTTCCCGCTAGTGAGCGCTCGCGTCTTGAAATCTGTAAACAGAGCGCCTGGCGATTTACAGCGACAACACAGAAAACACTACGAAAAACCTCATTTTCTCAAAATAGAAATGACAAAATAAAAATAGAAACTACATACTAAAAGAACATATCATGAACAATGATTGATGGAAATATGAATCTTATATATCCGTGAACGAGCTTATAAATTGTAAAAAACTTCACAAAAATCGCTTTACAAAGGAAATTAGGCAGATTTCAACGGAAAGCTGTGGACATGCGCAGTGCGTTTTTCACCAGTGTCGGTCACAACGAGAAACAACACATGAAACGCCAATAACAGCGTATTTTATTGATTCATTGCCGAACAGTGTCTCAATAATCATAGTTTCAATCCACTCTAACTCATTTGTGTTTTTTTTCTTTTAGAAACCCAAGAGCTGTTAAAAGAAATCGAGGTGGAATACGTTACAATGCCAGGATGGAAAACAAAAATCACCGAATGTCGCAGYTTTGAACAACTTCCTACCAACGCGCAAAATTACATCCGAAARATCGAGGAGGTCGTTCAGATACCAGGTGCGTTTGGCATGTGTTTAGGTAGTGAGCCATTCATTATGTCCAACTCAAATTTTGCTCTTTTTATTTTATTTGCAGTTCGTTGGGTCGGCGTTGGACCAGCACGTGACGCCATGATTTCAATTTTTTAAACTTAACAATACGCAATTTTAGCGCTTTTGTACGTATATACACTTTTTGCTTACGTTTATTATTTTACGTTTCCGCTAAAGCAAGTGTACTACTTGCTTGGGGTTCAGTTTACATTAAAAAAGTATAAATATGATGATTTGCAAACAAACGCAATACAAATATGAAAAACAAGCTGAGTGTAATTTTCCAAAATTAAATTTCACGGCTACGCGATTATAAGTAATAATTTAAGAAACGYATTCAATGAATCTTACATTCTTGTTAAAGGGGCATCAATTCGGCTTGGTAACGCCACTGACGTGTCGTCGGCCGTATACAGCAATTTCAAAAATCTTTTAGTGATAAGATAGTGTATTCCAAGACCAAAACGCATGGTTGGTCATGTTTGCACCGCTTAAAAAGGGATTTATTGTTTCAGAGTAACTATACCAGAGCTCTGCACCTTCTATTGAAAACATTTTAATATCCAATTGTCTTTTATAACGCTTAATTGATTAAGCCCTCGACGCTTTTTGAAATAGCTGTTTATAGGAATAAGTCTCTGCAGTGGTTTGTTTTTTTGTTTTGTCGATGTGTATTTTACAATAATTTTGAAGAGTTTTATAAGTTTATATCTTGTCAAAATAATTTGTTAAAAGAAATGACAATACAAATAAAAGCATTGCACGAAAAGGCGTCCATTTTCTGTTTAATCTAAAACCGGGAAACGCCTTTTAACAGCGTTCAAAATCATGAATATTTTATGACTATAAAACAACAAAAATCACTACATTGAAAGGGTTTTTAAAAGTGTTCAAGCACTTAACGGTCCTYGAACCTTTGCGACATTTTGTTTTGATCTCTTGATGAAACTTGCTTTTTGATTGGTTCAAAATTAACGATGTCATATTTTCGTATGTAGAAGTTCTCGGATTCAAATAACACTACGGGAACTTGAATGCTCTAGCTGTCGTGTTAAAAATATATATTAAAATTCGTGCATGTGACCAAAGTGGCCTTTTTAATTAGACAAATAGCGCATTATTTTAATTTTGTATAAGTTTTAGAGAAAACGTCCTCGAATCTCTTTACCTGTTTTCTCGATTATTAAACGGCTTCAAATTCTCTAGCCACTTATTTAAACCTCAAACCCTCACGATTTTTCGAGAAATGGTCGTAAATTTAAAGTTKTGAGATAATTAGAACAGTCTTATCATGCGCGAATCACTATACAAAGCCGG